ATATATATTTTTTTTTTAATATGAGAGTTGAAGTCGGTTTTTTTTTGCTAAGAATTACTTATTTTTAAATATTTTCATGCAAATTTTTTAAGCTTCAACCGTTTTGTCATTTGAGGGGGTTTTTTCAAAAAAATCTTTAAGAAACTGTTCTTATTCATGAAAAACTCTACTTTTGGAGGTATTTTCAAACCGGTCCAGCTCACTTAAATCTTAATATTTTTCGGAAATATTTTGGTGGACATCTTAAAATATAATAGATTTTATAATTCTAATGGAAAAATAGTGCCGATTTTTCTTTGTATGGGGAGCGATGCAGTCTAATATACATACATATGTTTTGAATAGGTAAGAAATGCAAAAGAACATCTACTTAGTAGAGGTGTCAAACTATCGATAGTCACACCATCGATAGTTTTGATAGTTTTCAGAAAAACTATCAATACTCACGATAGTGTCGAAAAAAACAAAACTATCGATAGCACTATCGATAGCGCTAAATCGGTTCGGTTGCTTTGTTTTTACAGGATCATAGTGAAATAAATATTATCTTATAAAAGTTATAATCATTCAAAATTAAGTAAATGCTTAGCCAAAATACTTCTTTTTTTATGAAGTTCAAAAACAAACACAAGTTATACCAACAGACCAGGATTTACGATTAACATATGTACGTATTTTGGCCTAAATGCGTACATATGTAAATATGACGTCGGCATCACACTAAAAAAAAAACAAAATTTTTAATGTAAGTATTAAATGTGTCTAGATGGGCAATGCCCAACCCTATGCACTCGGGGCACATTTATTTTTTGTATAAGTACCTATGTACCTACATAGTTTTAGGCTATGTATTCTAATATATACACACACAGCATTCCACGCGAAACTATACGAAATAGATGCACAAACATTTTTGTCTACTTCGTTTCTAATTTTTTTTTTATTGCGTATGTACAAGCACAAAGCAACAACATTTTTGTATGCTTTGTTGGAACATATTGGCGCCAGTTACCACGATCCAGAAAATAAAGGTCGCGCCATTCGCAGACCGCTAACCCTCTCTTCGTCGATTTGACAGCATCCACCCAATCGCTGACGTCATAAAATACTTTTGTTTACATTCACTGTTGCCAACTTGATGCTTTTCGCACCAAATTTAGTGGGTATTCAAAACGCGAAAATTTTTGAGTTGTGTGCTTGGTGCGTTTTTGGCGCTTTTGATTTTAGTTTGAAGACATCAAATTAGATAATCTTAAAAAAATGGAAGCAATATTTATGCAATCGTAAGTGTGGTAAGCAATTTTACAAAATTTTTAACAAAATCATGGCACAGTCTTTATATCCGACAACGAAATATGTGCAGCACCTTCAATCTTGCTCTATCATTCTGGTATATTTTGACGTCACGGCCAGTTGCTCTCAGCTCGATTGGCGCAATCTTGTATTCTATCATTCTTGGCCAGTTACCTTCAGCGTAAAATTTATTGTTGTCCTGCATTCGGGTGTCCGTTTCATTGTTACACAAATTTTCGGGTAGCTGCAGGTGCCCGAGTGTGGTGTTTGCTTGTGCTCAATTTATAGCGAGGGTGACCGAACAGACTCGTTCGTACTCAAATCAGCTGTCAGGTGTGCATCTCGATCTAACACATAGTAGCCGAGTGTGGCGTTCGCTTGTGCTCGATTTGTAGTGAGGGTGATCAAAAAGGCTCAATCATACTCAAAGCTGCTCTCTGATACATATATATGTACATATGTATGTATGTAAGTAATGCAAGCAAATGTTTTTCGGTTGGAAGGAATGTAGGAATACGCAAATGTTGAATTATGGTGGTAACATATATGTATGTATGTCTTAGGGTTGCGAATATTCACATTCGCAACCGCGGAGCTTTCGCATTAATTTTAACATTCGCATTCGCTTTCACATTCGCAATAATCAATGCGGAGCTTTTGTGAATGCGAATATTGTGCAAGTGCACTGATAAAACGTATATCTGCCAAACAAAATGACAAATTGTAGCCAACATTTTTTGCCTGTGGAGATGTCATGCTAAAACAGTTCCCCTATGTCCCCCTTCTTTTGTAATTTAAAGTCAAAAAGTAAGATCCTTCAATGGGTATTTCCAGATAACCTTTAATTAGGTATGAATTATGTAACTACCGAATATTATTTTCAAAGGTCTGTTTCAAAAACTGCGTGCATCGCTAGTTCTTTTTCACTTTTTCTTAGATAAGTGTAATTATTTTTTTTTTCTCATAAAACTTATTGTGATAAAGTTCCGTATTTCCTTTTATTCGGCTCGGAAACAACAACTCGCATCGTCGCTCAATTACAAAAAGCCGTTACTAACTAAAAATCCAAAATTCACTTTTTGATTGATTATGATGCATTTCATCGAATCATAAGTCCCCACATCGTTTTATGCAATACAAAAATTTAGTTAGTTGTAGCTTTTTTGTATTTCCGCGACAATGAGAAATACACCCTTTCCATACTATAACCACGATATGTTGAACATTTTGGTACATTCGCCTCAAAATATCAAAGCACATTGAGCGCATGTAATGGAACAACAAAGCGGATTTGATGGCTTATGGTATCGACAGCGGTGAGTACATAATTGTGACTGCCTGCAACTAGGAAAAGTCGAGCTCAGCTAATAAAAACACTAATTACAAGCTATTCATTACGGGTGAACCTTTCCAAGAAGTCACTCGGGAACTAAGCAGATTTGAGACCTTCATCGTCCGTGATTCCAATAGTTAAAAAACAACAAGATAACAGGATTTTAAACTAATTCGACTTTCAAAACAGAAAGTTCTTCGAAATTTTCATTCCTAGAAAATAATAATGTATTTGTCATATCCACCTGTTTAGAACCTCGATACAAGCGCACATTTTTCAAACCAGTCACAGAAGACAGGATTACAAATGAATTAAAAAAACTAAAATCGAAAAACGCTGATGACATAACAGGTTCTCCAAATTCTGAAACAACCAAATGAATTGGTTATCCAAATTGGAAAACAACAGTGTTTAAACAACGTTCTTGCCATGATGCTAGATTGTGAAGATGAAAGTCAGGAGGAAAAGCAAGCCGGTGCAATTTTCAAAAAGGAATTATTGCACCACAATAAAAACGGAAAAAAGAATAAAAGTCCTCTCAACTGGTGCATCAATCGAAAAGAATTTCCAATTTTGTCAAGCTTCAAGTTTTTCAAGTTTGTCACCTCGAGCGAGTAGTTATTTAGTGGCGCAGGTTTGATTTACGACCCTTTATTGCTACAACAACATTCCGCTTTATTCATCATATTTTATGTACGCTCAATTAGATTAGATTAGATAGGCCGTTACCGAAAAGGCAGCAAAATTACCCTTTATTAAATACGATGCTCCAATTTTTGAATTCAAGTACTAAATAAAATAAAATAAAATATTAAAAAGTACTAACTTTTCCATTTCTTATTTACCTAAATTATTTCTTAAAAGTAGCTATCTTTTAAATATTCGCATTCGCATCCGCGGATGTCTAAAATTCCACATTCGCAACATACCTAGTATGTACATATAAATAACATACACGCATACCTGTAGTTAAAGTATATTCCAAGCGTACACTTTTCTGTATAAAGGTATATCTGCATGTTATTTTATTATAATGATTGCGTTTATTTATTATATCTGATGAATGGAACTTAGTAGGGATAAGATTGCCGAATGAGAAAAGTGGGCGTCTGGTGAAGACTGAGAGTAAAGAAAAGCAGAAAAAACAATCATGCCTATTATGGTATCCGACGGATTCCATCCGCTCGGATCTATTCCGATCCGTACTCGATTCACTTTTTTAAGTAACCGGTATTATTGATACCGACGGATGCACTGCGTTGCCTCTTGTGAACTGTATTGNAGGGATAAGATTGCCGAATGAGAAAAGTGGGCGTCTGGTGAAGACTGAGAGTAAAGAAAAGCAGAAAAAACAATCATGCCTATTATGGTATCCGACGGATTCCATCCGCTCGGATCTATTCCGATCCGTACTCGATTCACTTTTTTAAGTAACCGGTATTATTGATACCGACGGATGCACTGCGTTGCCTCTTGTGAACTGTATTGCCAACATAATCAGCTGTGCTTATATGTGTGAAGGATTTGTTAACATTGGTGAAATTTATTGCAAATATTAAATGGATTCTGTGGCTTTTTTTATTGATTTCGATGAAAACACCACGAGTGATATGCGACGGACTAGAAGGAAAGTCAGGGATAATGTATTCGAGTTGCCGGATGAGGTGTGAGTAAATTTATTGAAGTCTTTATTTCATTTTAACATGTGAGTTCCTTATACAGATTTGTAAAACAGTTCCGGCTTAACAAGTTAGCATTCAAGTACGTTTTAGAAATATTAATGCAGAAATTGCCTCAAGTTCGAAGATCATGTTCCATAACACCAGAGCTTAAATTAGAAGCTTGTTTAAGGTTTTTAGCTGAAGGGGGCTATCAGAATGGTACTGGCCAAGATTTTAATATTGGCATGGCACAATCCACAGTCTCTGTAGTACTCTCTGATGTACTAAACATCTTAGAAGCCACTTTATGTCCCAGATGGATTACTTTAGCAATGACAGACAATGAAAAACTTGAAGCGAAAAGATATTTTTTCGAAAAAACTAGAATTCCTGGAATTGTCATGTGTGTTGACGGTACTCACATTAAAATTCTTAAACCAGCTGCAGGCAATGCACACCTTTATTATAATCGGAAAGGATATTACAGTGTTAATGCAATGATAGTAAGAACTAAATGAGTTTGAACTTCTTCAATTTATTATTTATTTATATTCTTTTATTTTGCATTTTCAGATATGTGACCATAAGCAAAGAATAAGGTATGTGAACAGTAGGTATGCAGGTGCAAGTCACGATTCTTTTATTTGGGAAAATAGTGATNAGAAGCTCTCATCTGTGGAACATTTCTCGATGTAGATGGAACTGCGTCATCATCATTTCTCCCCTGTGGCACTCCAAACTGTTTGGAGTTTCTAATACCACCAACGCAATCATTAAGACACACAAGGGTAGCAAATTCTTCTTCCATAGATGTTAAGGGAATTTCCCTATTTTCTCCTCCACCAGTCGCTTGTAGCTCTCTTTTGTTATGCGCGAGCTTCTTCTTTATCGCCGATTTATAGTCCGACCAAACCTGTGGTTCAAATTAAGTGAATAATATATTTTAGCTTTTCAACATTTCGCAAACCTTTTTCCATTCGGCAATGGTTTTTGATGGCGGTCCAATCGAATTCAACTCCTCTCGCACACTTTCCCAAAATCTTTCTACCAAATCAGGTGCATTTTTAGTAAAAATTTTTGCTATGTCCGGATGCTCCTTCATTTTGGAAACTAAACATTTAAATTGCTCCCTGGTCGTTGTACGCTTCCTAAAACACATAAGTTTGTGTTTTTTACAATATTACAATATTAAAGGGATAAATAATTGTGATTTTTCTTACATTTTATTGCTATCCATCTTATCGTTTTTAGTATCCGCAGCACAATGGCGCGTGAATGACAGATAGAGAAATTTGTACGAATCACGGATCGGATGCGTTTACAATGATGCCACTTTTTTATTTCATTCGCAAACTGCATTAACCTCTTTTGACTCATCCCGAAACTGCATTATCGAGCGTTTTCGATAATAGCAAATTCTGTCAAAAGTGAGTAAAACTCCCTCCGCAACCATCTGTCGAATACCATAATAGGCATGAATACATATAAATTTTTTATTTCTTTTAGATGTTTCGATTCGCCATTATAAGGATATTAATAAGAAACCAAAAATATATGTACACACGTAAATGGAATAAGAATATGTATGGATGTATGTATCAGGGATGTTGCGAATGTGGAATTTTAGACATCCGCGGATGCGAATGCGGATGCGGGTGTTTAAACGCAAACATCCGCGGATGCGGATGCGAATGCGGATGTCAAGTATTTTTATACCCGAACGCACTTGTGCACAAGGGTATTATAAATTTGTTCAAAAAACGGTTGTTTGTAACAGGCAAAACGAATCGAGATAGATATAGACAAATATATACATAAATGATCATAATGAAAAGAGAAATCGATTAAGCGGTGACTGTCTGTTCGTCCGTCCGTCCGTCTGTGCACACGATAACTCGAGTACAAATTGAGATATCTTAACGAAACTTGGTATGTGTACTTCTTGTGAGCGTTGGACGGATGGAACGGAACGGGCAAAATCGGACGATAACCACGCCCGCCTCCCATATAACGGCAGTTTTGAGAAATGCGAAAACTGCGATATTTAAGTAACTACTGAAGCTTATTCACTCAAAGTTAATATTTACAATCATTTTTAGGCGAAAAATAAGAATATTATAAATTTTTGGAAAATAGGCGTAGCCACCGCTCCACCAATTTCTCCCAAACTTGGCACAGTTGTTGGCCTTCACAAAACATACTAAACGGCTTAAAATTTAGAAAATCGGATAATAACCACGCCCATATCCCATATAACGGTAATTTAGAGAAATACGAAAGCTTCTATAAATCAGTAAATACTGAACCTAATTTATTCAAAATTAATTTTTGCAATAATTCTTAAGCAAAAAATAGGCTTATAATAAAAGGTTGGAAAATGGGCGTGACTCCGCCCACTTATAACCACATATGTGCAATGTATCTCGGTAGCCGCTCTATCAATGTGTACCACACTCGGTATGATTATTGTGGTTGCCACATAAAGGCAAAACGTTGAAAGTAATTGAAATCTGACTAAAATTACGACCACCTTTTTATAACGCTAATTTTACCCAAAATTTATACTAACAACTATCCTTTGAAAAGAAGTAACATTATTATGGAATTTTGGAAAATGGGCGTGATGCCATCCACATATCTATACTAATTATATAAAGAGAAGTCCCTTTTTTGTAACAGGTAATCTCGCGAACAGCTGGTCCGATTTTCATGAAATTTTGTATACAAATAGCTTTCGGTAACCACCATGTTTTAGGCTGAAAAAATTTTACTTTTTTTCGGGTAGGTGGACCGATGATCCGATTTGCTTAAAATTTAGTACGTAAGTAGCTTTTTAGCATATATGACCCATTTTTTCCGGGAAGTGGTCCAGGGACCGATCTATTCGAAGAAATCGTATTTATGGTCCGATTTGCTTAAAATTCGGTACGTAGGTAGCTTTTTGCCTGGATAAGCTTATAGATTCCTGTTTTCCAATTTTCATGCAATTTCGAATATAAATAGCTTTAAGTAATGACCATATCAAGGGGCGAATTCGTCACTAGGCAAGATTTTTTTGCGCTAATCAGAAACAACGGATACTGTCAAAATATAATTATAATATAGAATATATCTCAACTAATTTATATTTAGAAAGCCGTTTGTTAGTTTTCGCAAGGCTCGAGAGCGGCTGAACCGATTTTTTTGAAACTGCCACCTGCCGCACGTGTCCCAAGGATGGTTTTAGGCTGAAAAAAAATCTATATGTAAAGGGGGCGTGGTACTTCCCATACAAACCGAATTTCTCATGCTACATATCTCTGAAAGTGTGCATGGTAGAGTTTTGGAAATTGGTATGGAGATATACAAAATCAATCGCATACCCTTGGATAAAAATTTTAGCTATTGTAAAAAGGGGTGTGACATCTCCCATACAAACCGAATTTTTCATACTGCTTATCTCTGGAAATTTTTTGGTAGAGCTCTAGAGTTTTGTATGGAGATGTACGAAATAAATCGCATACTCTTGGAGAAAAATTGGAACTATTGGAAAAAGGGGCGTGGCATCTTCCATACAAACCGAATTTTTCATACTGCCTATTTTGGAAGTGTTCATGGTAGAGTTCTGGTACTTGGTATGGAGATATACGAAATCAATCGAATACTCATGAAGAAAGAGGGCATCTCTTGGAAAGGGGGCGTGACACCTCCCATATCAATCGAATTTTTATACTGCATATCTCTGAAAGTATTCATGGTACAGTACTGGAACTTCGTATGGAGATATGTATATAGTTGAAATCAAGCCCATATTCATGGAGAAAATTTGGGCTATTTGAAAAGGGGTGTGAGGCCTACAAACGTACCGACCTTTAGCAGTTGAGTTATTACTAAAAATTTTATTTATGATACGATTTGGCTAATGTTTTAAATATGTATGCAATACTATTGCAAAAACGTGCTGCCAAGTGGTGCTGAAGTCGAGCTATTACTAAAAATAGCCAAGTGAGAAAAGGGGCCGTGAAGGTCAGATTAAATCGACCTGTTGCACCATTGAGTATATCGAACGCTCCTGCGTTGCAATTGGCCCAATGGATGTGATTTTCCAATATTATTATACGTTCAAACCTTTAAGGTATTTCGTCTAAAATAAGTATATGTATATTGCATTTCTGTAGAACAATGATTCGCACTCATTTTGAAATTGCCACCTACTATACTGTAAAGCTTCTAGGACATTCGCTATAGAACCAGATCATTGTTGCCGCCAGGGAGTGAAGAGAAAAAAATTTATTTCGCTTTGCGAATAACCGTGCTATGAAATTCCGCACAACTGCTTTTAAGCAGAAATAACGCTAGTAATGGTATTTTTTTATCATTTAATACTAAAGAAATTCATATACCAGACCCATGGTTTGATCTATGGTAATTAATTAACATTTTTTATTGAAATATTTTTCAATGGGTGGCTTTGCTCGTTTAGACATTTCCTTCATTTAGTACCAATTTTGTTTAATTTGCATAAGTGGTTTGTTTATTATCCGGAAAAGACTTTTAATTGGGAATAAAAAATATTTGGCCAAGTTTAACTGGTAAAAAAAAAACTGTTATTTTCGGTCCCTTCAATATTCGCATTCGCAAAAGATCCGAATTGATTATTGCGAATTTGAATATTAAAATGAATGCGGAAGCTCCGCGGTTGCGAATGCGAATATTCGCAACAACCCTGGTATGTATTACTTAGAAGAAAACTCAATAAAACGACCCTGCAAAAAATTGTGCGACTAATCTCTAAAGAGAGTATTTCGAGATTACTCTCAATCGGGTACAATTGGGCATTAGTTAGTCCCAACTAGTCTCATACGGGTACTAATGGAGGTCAATTAGTCTCGACTCATCCCTTATGGATATAATTGGAGATCAATTAGTCCCCAACTCATCTCTAACGGGTACTATTAACGATTTAATGATATGTACGCACTTAGTCAAAGAAATTTCATGTGCGGCATTGGCACACAGAGAGAGTCCTAACAGAACTGAGCACCCCGGTTCGGATCTCAGCTGGCGCAAATTTTTATTTTTTATAAGTGACTAGTTGCTTTTTATACCCGTTCGGGTATAAAGGTGAACAATTAGTCTCTTCATAGGGCATGCTCGAACAAAACAGTTCATTCCATATAAAGAGATCAAAAGTGGTATTAGTCGCATGCTCCATTGCGATTGCTCCCGGAGTCAGCCCGGATTAGTCCCATTTTTTGCAGGGGAAGGTCTGCATTTCATATCCATGCACACACACATACATATGTACATATTTATATACGTGTGTATCTGTATGCATTAAAGCATTGCAAATATACCAGCAGAAATACTCTTCACATGTGTACATGAGTAAATGGAACATATATTTTAGAGTACTTAAAAAGATAGAAACAAACAAAGAGACCATCATAAATTTGAGGAACTAAGCAATGTTACTCAACAGCGCTCTGCTGCATAAAACACTGTTCCGCTTTTCCAGAGTAATTTAGTATGTTGATTGCATTCAGTAATATTTGAAAACTTCATATGAAGTATAGGAATACTTATGAAGTTTAACTTTTAAAATGTTAGCATTAAACATAATGTTAAGAAAAGACATACATTTTCTTTTTATTCCAATATATGCTTAAAATATTGTTTTGCATTTCTCGCCGGACGCTTCAATGCTTGCAAAAAAGTTCGAATCTTTCATATACATGATTTATGTACATACATATTATATAAATTTTTTATATAACAAAAAATGTGTGTCCATTTTCCCCCGACCGTCTTTATGACCAGTTTTTATTGTCGAATTGATACTTTCATTTCCCAATAACAGGCGCTCATACATGTGAAGTAACAAGTTTTCTATTTCTAAGCAGAAAATTGTTTGTATAAATTTTTAAATTTCCAAAATTCTACTTTGTGAATTGCCAAAGGCTTCTGCAAACGAATTAAAATCTTCTACAAACAAATGTATGCATAGGGAAAGCTTGCTACTTCATATGTATGTGCGCCTGGTACTGGGAAATGAAGGTATCGTATTGTACAAATAAAAATTGGTTCTCTGTATAAAATGAGTGAGTCCACTTTCTTTATAAAAATATGCTGTTGGCAAAATATTCGGAGCGCCCTACATTGTTTCTCCATGTTTGCTATTTAACATAAGTGTCAGCTCCAACATTAACATTATGTAGCATTAAACGAAAACTTCTAAAAATACTCAAAAAATACTTGTGAAGGAACATATTTTTTGTGGAAGTACAACAGCATGGTACTGCTGATTTCGGAACATAA